AATATTATTTTAGCTGCATTTAACCGTGCAAAAGAACTAGTTAGTAATTTGAATATATTACCTTCATTAAAGGAATGCAATGCTTGTGAACTTAATTTTTTAAGTAAAAATATATCTGATAGTATTAGATTCAACATTAATTCGGATAATTATTTAGCAACGGATTCAGATTCTTCATCAGATTCTGAATCTGATTATGATGATGGAGCAATGGAAAGTAATGAATTTGATAGTGATCTAATCAATGTGGATGAAGAAGGTAAAGATCCGGAAATGACACAAAACTTTGATGAAATTAAAACTGAGAAAATAAATTTTACTGGTATGCATATACTCGATTCGATTAATCCAGCAATCAAAAACTCCTATTTTCAAGTGCAAATAAATAACAAGACTAAATTTATACACAAGCAAACGGCTTGTTGGTTATTGACCGACAAAGTTAGCCGCTTATCGGCTGATAGAGTATCACGAGTGATAGAAACAAACAAAAAGGATTGAAAATCTTCATCAGATTGATTTGGATAGATGGAAAATTTCTTATAAAAATAAACCACTTCATTCAAAAAGCATTCACTTATTAATTATCATATTTTCTAAGATCAAACAAGCTTGAATTTTTTTCAGCGCATTAAAAAAAAACAATAAAAAGTTCACCTTTCTACTAAAATAAGACCGTCGAAAACAAGACAATTTCATTGGTTTCTTGTGAATTTTCATGCACGAAATGTATTTCAAAGCTTCCAGAAGACTTCAAGAGACTTCAAAAGACTTCAAGAGACTTCATCAGACTTCAAGAGATTTCATCAGACTTCAAGAGACTTCATCAGACTTCATCAGACTTCATCAGACTTTATGAGACTTTAGAGACTTCAAGAGACTTTATGAGAATTCATAAGACTTCAAGAGACTTCATAAGACTTCGAAAGACTTTCAAGACTTCATGAGACTTCAGTCGTGAAGTCTCCGCTGTTTCCCCCTTGGCAGCGTCATATTACAGTCAGCATGTTTTATATAAAAACTCAATGTGTTTTATTATTAGAGATAATACACAAAAGTAAGTGATCTCAATGTCAGATAAAAAGATTTTTGTCATCAAGGTAGAAATTAATATTTCTTCGGAAATCCTGTGTTGTATGTTTTATGCATGCTGCAAAACAATTATAACAATTAACATTATCAAATGAGTGATAATTTGACATTGAAATTTATAGTCGTTAAAGATACTGCACTACTATATCAAGCACATGAGAAAAGGATCACAATATGACGAATAGTTTTCCTTCAAACCTACTCTCGTTCGATTATCGATGCAAAATAACTTAAATAATAGAACAGTAATATAATTGAGGGTGTGGGTATGGGTGTGGGGTGTAGGTTTAGGTGTGGGTGTGGGTGTGGGGTGTAGGTGTAGGTGTGGGTGTGGGTGTGGGTGTGTGTTGGTAGATGATGGTCTCAAAGTTGTTTCTACCGACAGTTATACCCACACCCGAAAATACAGATCACGACGAGATGAGTTCAAATTTTTGCACACGCTGGTTTGTGTGGTCAGCGACATAGAGATCACCGTGGTGGTCGAAAGTCAAACCATACAAATGGGACAGCTGATTTGCGCCAAATCCTTCGCCGTTCCCACCGGCCACCACATCACCTACAGAGGACTCTCGAGGCCAACGCATGACTCGAAGATTCTCAAACTCCGCCACATAGACAGTGCCCATTTGATCGACCACAACTCCGCACGTATTATTCACTTGATTCATATCGCTTCCTTTGCCATTACCACCGGCCACCAATTCACCGGTTTTCGCGCCTTTTGCCCACTTCACGACACGATTTTTGCCGCTATCTCTCACGTAGACCGACTGATCTTGTGTAACGAAAAGAAAGGACGGCCAATGCAGTTGACCAAGACGATCTCCTTGGCCATTTCCACCGGCCACAACAGTTCCTTTCGAATCGCCCACTTTGAAGCGTCGAACTTCTTCTCTCCTGAAATCAGAGACGTACAGAGATCCGTAATAGTCTATTGTCAGACCCCAACAGTCGATGTCGGAGAGAACGATTTCTCCATGAGTGCCATTGCAATGAGGCCAGCGTACCACTCGTCTGTTGATACGATCGCAAATGAGCAAACTATTTGTCCATCGATCAACAACCATGTCGGTTGGGAAATATAGCTGATTCAATCCGCTTCCTGCTCCATTTCCACCAACTACAACTCGACCCGAGGTCACCCCCGATGGCCAGGCCACGACAATTCACATAATCAGCAATATAAACAGTTCCATCCTCATCAACAAATAAGCCGGTTGGCGCATTGAGTTGGTTCAACGCTCCGCCTTGGCCATGGCCACCAGCAATGGTGATGCCGGTAGGTGACCATCGAGCTTGTGGTGAGAGAGCAGCCTCGGTACCTCGCATGGGTGTCATTGAAGGGCCTATAGAACGAGATACGATCTGTCAAAACTGTTGAGTATGGTTGTATAAATTTCTTTGATTGTTAAGAATGACTTCGTAGTAACGAAATGGGAGGCGTTTGCGCATATTTATACTGTAGTTTCGGAGTTATTTCTGACCTTAATGGAGCAATGGACATTTTCATACTTGTGCTCAACCTTTTCAGGGACTAATTAGAAGAGAGTAATTAGAAGAGTCGATTAACGCTTGGCAATAGCTGAGAGATTGGTCCTGCAATTGCATAGTACTATACTTTTGGAAAGGGATTCAAACACCCTCATCCTCAAATAGCTTTCAGATCCCCAATAATTCCAAGAAAATCTCTTTCAGAACATGAACAAATGTGAACTTGATACTTACTCCTGGTCACAATTAGGAATGGAACTAGAAGCTTGTAATGTTCTGTACAGCTAAATTAAAAACTTTTTTTATTTGAAAAAAAAAAGCTCGTATCGAAGTATACCAGTTAATGAATTCTTCTTCAGTCAGAGTTTCGTTCTGACTTTTACCCAAAACCTTTATTATTTCTCTGGCAACAGACCTTGCTGAATCAGTATTCACTGCCTTTTCGCCTCCTTGCAGCTCGGCAACCACTTCAAGAAATTTGACCATTTTTATATAGTCGATTGTTTTAGCACCATCGTGGTCACACTGTGCGAATATCTAATAATGAAAAGAAAATGAAAGGCACGTAGAAACTCAATGATGTGGTACTCACTAAACTTAGACGCGTTCTTAAATCGCCTGGTTGCGTTGGAGCCACAGCGGTCGTGTATTCGACGAAGCTTATTGTTCCGCTTTTATCACTGTCGATCGTCGAAAATACATGATGGCAATAGTTCGTCGAGTCTCCACTAAAAATTTGAAATCAGAGAATTCGAGGCACATATTTGACATCTGATAAAGCAATGCAGCCTGACCGGCTGAAATTCACTGTAAAAAATTGGCACTGAATAATGAACCCTTCAAAAGAGTTTATTAGCCTCATAAATCCTATCATATATCCATTTTAGTTTCACAAACCCTTCAATATACCTTTTTAATTCGTAACCCTTGACAAGAGTATCTTATACGTTGCACTTTCATAAATATTTTAGGGTATAATAGTATTCATACACCCTTTGAAAGGTATATCGGCTGCATCAACCATTATAAGGAGCGTTTATTGATGTACCATTTAGAAAAAATCGTAGAATAAGAAACCGTGTTGAGAAAGATTTATGCAGCCGATATACCTTTCAAAGGGTATATGGATACTTATATACCCTAAAGGATTTATGAAAGTGCAACGTATAAGATACCCTTGCCAAGGGTTATGAATTAAAAGGGTATATTGAAGAGTTTGTGAAACCAAAATGGATATATGATAGGATTTATGAGGCTAATAAACTCTTTTGAAGAGTTTATTATTCTGCGCCAATTTTTTACAGTGTTCGATATAGAAGTCGTGCATTGAGCATTAGTTTCAGATAAATTACAATATATGGATTCAAATAGATTTGGTATTGACAAAAACTGGGAAAAAATCAATATCAGCGTTTTATCAAACCTCTTGAAAATGGTCTCATTTTTAATTTTACTTTTTCTCAATTCTACTGTAGCATGAATCTGCTCGAGAAGACTGATTGGACAATAATCAATCGAACTTTGAGATCGTATTAAGTCGATAGTGGCCATGAAGCACAGTTTGAATTTATGCTTTGCTATTATTGTGAAAGACAAACATCACGAAATTCCCTACTATGCCTTTAAACAAAGTCACATAAACAGTCTTTGGAATTCTTGACTGTGAAGTTATTATTTCTAACGATCGGTCTTAAATACAACCGCTGAGATAGCAAGCAGTTGACTACTTAAAACCGTCATATTAGCAGCAATAGATAACGGTGTTGATACTATCAGACTCACCTTGGAAATAGTTTGCCGAATTCAACTACGAAATCGTTCTTGAAGAGTTCACCATTTGGACTAAATTTAAATCGAACGTGATATTCTTGTGAAATTTGTGGACTGAGGTACGCTCACTGTTCTTTCATAAAATTTGCATGCCATTGTAAGAGGGATCGCTTCTGTAAGGCTGGGGTTTTGCTTCAAAATAAATGATATTTGTGAACGGTTGAGTTTTTCTAAATTCATGTAAATTATGGCAACGAAAAAAAAAAATATGTTTTTCAAATAAATCTGGTTTCAAGCTCCAAAAGTTTCGCCAGCGTTTGAAGAAGATTACAGTTGCGATTTTTGCCCTACTTGGTTAAATAGTTTCGACAATGTAATGATACGGGACCGAAAAAGAAAGCTAAGCCTTTAATTTGGAAGAATTTATGAGCCTATTTTGGGCACTTTCAGATCAGGGACGTAGCGCCCACAGGGAATATCACACATCCCTGCTTTAGACAGTTTAGTTAGTTTTTGAATAACAAAATAGAAAAATGTTTTGTTTTCCAGTAATGTGATACTTCGATTGGTTTGAATGAACACATTACATTCCCCTGTTTTTTAACTTTTAAGAGCTGATACCCCTCTGCTTCGACGGCCTCGTTAGGTTCCTAGAATTTCGAATTAGATATAATGTTTTTTCATCCTTCACAAACTTACCATGAGAATCTTTCCAAAAATCGTGCGACTCAATTGATCCATGTAGTGCATGGTAAATAACACAATCAGCAGGTAGCTCTTCCAAATCTGTATGCAAATCATGATCGATCACTCGGAAAATGACGTTTGTATTCGTATTATTCGCTTCCTGTATCTTCAATTGAGAGAAAAATCTCATTTGTTTCAACATATTTCGTTTATTTTTCTTTGACCATTGTTCGCATATATGTAGTAAATACACGTCATTGTCGTAGAAATTCAATATAATATCCTCAACAGATTCGATCTGTGTCAATAGCAGAGATTGATCTGGACTATCTTTCTTCAATGTTTCAATTTTTGTCTTTACGTGTTGATTATCTTTTAAAAATCGATCAATTAATATTTCTGAGCATGGATTCTCAAGATCAAATTTATCGATTAGTTCTTCCATTTCAAATTCTTTA